TTTTTATTTTCTTTCTTTTGAGGCATGTTTCTTTGTCTCTCCATTTTGGCTGCCTCTCTGTGTTTGTTTCTGTGTATTATGTATATCTGCTATTTCTTCCAGTCTTTGCAGGATGGTCTTATATATTAAGTGTCTTATGGGTCCCAGTGGTGCAGTCTCCAGGAATGTACTATGTGTACATTCTTATTGTAGGTGAGTTTTGATTGCTGTTTGCCCCTCTGTGTGTAGGGCTGGCTGACTCTGAGGACTGACCCCAACTAGTTTATGAGATACTCTGTGGGTGCTGACCACACAAAGTGGAATTATCACCAGCAGGGTCTGGTGCCTGCTGAGATCTCCTATTGGATGTGCCACTTGTGGAGCTAATTGGACCCTGCTCTGATATTGTCTGAATTCTGCTACTGGATGTGTTGATTTGGGGGCTTCTTGAGAGGTAATTCAGTGCAGATCAATGTCAGAAACTTCCTGTAAATGCACCTGAGAAAACTGCTCAGATTATAATGTATCCAGAGTTTATGGCTGCCCTTTCTGGGCCTGTGTGTGCAGTGGAAGAGCCAAGCTGTGCACCACAGCTGGCTGCTTCCTGCACCAAGTTGGGGGGCAGATCAGCAAAAGGCCCAAGGCATCCTGAGATCTTCCTCTGACTGCCTCCGCTAGCTGCCCATTTGGCTCAGTCCCTGAAAGAGCCTCTGGCAGCACTTGAGTTGCATGAGGTAGATTCTCAGTAAGTTACCAGCTAGGGGTGAGTGGTGTTCACTAGACTGATACAGATTCAAACTCTGTGCCAGTGCTAGGTCTGAGACCACTCAGAAAAAGTCCCAAAGTATACCAGCACCAGCTGCCACCTTCCAGGTGCCTGCAGACCTTTGTGTTGAGGAAGGGTCTTGGGTAGTCATCAGAGTGAGGCATTCAGAGCTATCAGCCCCAAATAGACCAATTTGGCCATATAAAGGGAGGACTCTACACAGGAATATTTTGAGGGAAAAATGGCCCTCACCTTAGTCACAAGACTCAGTCTGTCTTGGATTCTGCTGATACCTACTCAAGAGCCTGAGTCCAGCAGAGTGAGGTGGCAAGGAGTTGGGATGGTGGAGCTAGTTAATCTCTCATGGGGTGTCAGCTCCAGTCAGGCTCTCAGGAAGAAGAGGAGTGGCCTGTGTCTCAGAGCCACACAGCTCAGTCTCTGATATGACCTAAGTCTACCTAGACCTCTACACCACAAGTCCAGGAACCTGACTCCTCTGCAGTGTGTGAGCTCAGCAGGGTGGGGTGACAGCAAATCAAGAGGGTGGGGCTATTGCATTCTTCCAGGCTGATGCCCTATGGAAGAGAGTGTTCAACCCAAGAAAGATGGCAGCTGTGGGAAGTGTGGGAGAGGGACTCAGCACAGGGATCCTGGTAGTTTTCCCTTCAGCTCTGTTTCCTGAGGCACACAATCTAGTTTATTCCCACACAACAGTCTGTTCTGAGCTGCCCTCCCTCTGCCAGAGCCAAGAGTGGTGGCTACAAACAGGGTATTATATGTTGGCCCTTTAAGAGGGTGCCTGAGTTTCTAGCAGACTCTCATCTCTCCTTGGCAGACAGAATCCCTGCTGATTTTCACATCCAGCTAGTGTGTGGGCTCCTCTTCCTGGCTCTTGTACTCTGGGCTGGGGAGCCTGCCTTGGGGTTGAGACTCCATGCTTCTCAGGGGAAAGTTTACAGCCAAGATATACCTCTGGAGTTTTAGCCACTGAACATGGGTGTGGGGCTAGCCCTTTTCATGGCTCTGCTCTTCCTGCCAGTCTTGATGTGGCTTCTTCTGTAAATTGTTGGTTATAAGACTTCTGTTTAGCTAGTCTTTAGTTGGTTATTCAGGATGATTGTTCTATATACTAGTGGTAGTTCCAGTTTGGCCCTGGGAGGATGTGAGTGTAACATCCACTTACCATGCCACCATCTTGGATCCTCTCCAGGCAGTTGTTACATGGAATGGCATCCTTATATGGTCAGTTTTTCCCATTTTCCAAGACAATTTTGATATCCAGACTTTGATATGAAATTTCCTTAATTTTAAAAACACTTTCTGGGTCAAACTTGATGTTTGTATAAGCAATCACCCCAAATATAACTTCCACATTAGAGTCCTTGCTTAGGTTAATTGACATGAACTTAGGGAGGATAGGATCATTTATTTTGCAAATATTTAATGAACTCCTACTATGTACCAAGACTGTAGCCCTTCTCTAGTTGAGGAGATATGGTCTTCAGACAGTAGGGGAGAATCCCTAAGGTAGAAGCAATAAAGTTCTAGCAGTATGTAGCATGAGTGCAGGGCAAGTTCAGAAGAGAGAAAAGATTACATGAGCCAAGAAGGGTAAGGGTGGCTTTGTGGAGGGAGAGAGGATTAAATTCTGCTCTGGGGGATGAATAGATTCAGAATATGAGACTCTGGGAAGGGAGAAGGAAGGACAAAAGTATGGAGATGAGAATGGACCTGATATGTTAAAGTCTGTATCTTTGCATCCTGGTACTGATATGACTCAAAATCAAATTGAAAAGCAATGAAAAAATTAGTAAAAGAAGAGTATGAGTGTGCAAAGAGTGGAAGACAGAAACCTTTTACTTTAATAGTGACCTCAAGTGAGAAATCTCATAAATTGTCTAGGTCATGATAAAGGAATATGTGGCATGTCCACCTGATGCCATTCAGAGCAATTACCTTAAATACAATGTCAGATTTCCTCTGTAAAAGAAGGTAGCTCAGGTTTAGAACATGAGTAACTTAGATCACTGCTGATTACACAACCCTGAATAGCTTGGGACTTGGGTTAATTTACACACTCAACTTCCTGGCATTATTCCTTTGGGCTGACAAATCAGCATTATTTTCCAGATTACAAGACATCTCCCTATTATATTACCCCCTTTTTGGTTGACTCTTTCTTGTCACCCTCATCTAATGCTACATCAGATAGCTGTCTCGCTGAGCAACAATTTCATATAACTTACAAGGGAGAGAAGTTGAGTACCAGTCTTCTCAGTAATTTATGACACAATAGCAGCAACATGGAAGTGTTAGTTGTTTATAAATAAGCTCCAAGAGCAGCATGCGGGTTTCAAAAAAAAGAACAGTTGATAATATTCACTGATTTGAGCATATCTTTACAGCTAGTATTGCAGTATGACATAATAAAATAAAATGTTTCCTGTTGTGCAGGAATATAAAGTTTTCACCTATGTTAAATTGATGAATGTTGTGATTAGGAGCTCTTTATGTACTGAAGAGATTCAGGGTAGTCTACTATGTTCTATCTGAGAGATACCAGCCTCACTGAACCTAGCAACCAAGCAAAAACTTCAGTATAACACCGTTTGTATATTCCCTCATATACCAAATCCATTTTGCCTTGGATAGGCTTTGAATTTTACTCTTTCTAACTCACCCCAGGCTGCCAAATATAATAACTGATGCATAGAACTTACTGTGTGCCAGGCAGTGCTTTAACTACTTTACAATAGGAAGCAAAGAAATGTCGACTCAATAAATCTTGACAACAACAATACAAGGCAAATCTTTCTATTCCCATTTTATAAATGGAGAAGTTGAGGCCCCAAAAGATTAAGTAACTTGTCCCTAGTTGTTGGAAACTGCCCTGCCTGGTTTCAGAAGCTGTAACCCCCCATGGCTAAGGTTGAGTAAAAAGACCTTGGGACTTAAGGAGATAAAACTTATCCTCCTGGCAGGGGCACAGCCCCTACCCCCTTTACTTCACCCTGCTTGGTCCCTGGAGGATGACTGGATAGTCAATGACAAGTAAGATTTCTCAAGGGAGGAACAACCTAAATCAGGCACACTCACAAAGGAGCCATTAGGTAAGGGTTTAGGGGATTATGGAGAAGGGACAAAAGACCTTCACCCCTCAGCTTTGTTATAGCCTGAGTCCTCATTCTATCTGTAAAAAGTCCCCTAATCTCTTTGTTGCCTTACTTCCCCTGCCTGACTTAAACCTAAAACAATGCTGGAGGCAGTGTGGCCCTGTGCTGGAACAGAAGGTTCCTGGGGGCAATCAGGCCTAAGAAAGAATGCATAAAATCCTGTGAAACCTGCTTTGCTAAGAATCCCCTCAATTTAAATGTTAAGATTCCCAGCATAAAATGTTTTTTTTTCCCAAAGTTTTATGCCCTTTTGTTGTCACTCTATCTATCTGACCCTGACTCAGAATAAGCCTTTATACTTCTTTGAATGTTATCTGTTCCTTGATTATTACTGCCTGAAAATGATTGATGAGCTTTACGTATATGCCCTGTATTCCTATGCAAACTGAACCCAATAAAAGTGCACTGAAAAAGAGGCTCAAGGCCTTTCTCCTCTGAGAGACTGGTCAGCCTTTACTCCCCAAGCAGATCATGTCTTGGTAGACTTATTTTCATCCTGGTTTCCAGGGGAGCTTCGTGGGATGGAGCTCCCCCCACCTAGTCACACAGCTAGTAAGTAGCAGGGCTAGCATTCAAATCAAATGTCTGCAGAGCCTTGCTCTCAATCATCTTGTTCTGCTTGCCTCTCTGACAACTTTCCTCTTGGGCCAGAGGCATTTCCGGCTTTTGGGCAAGGTCCAGTGGGAGAAAACTGGGCATTTCTTGGTTGTTATTGTCCTGAAGTTACTGCTTTATTGATTGAGTTTTTCCTTCCTCTGTCCTTATCTATTGTATTTTATTTCTTGTTTGCTGAGTTAGATGGCCTCATCTATGCATGGAAGAGGGGAGAGCTGAACTTATCTCTGGTCTTTTGCTAGGATAGCACAAGTCATTGGCATTTCTGTTTACCAAGAAGACATGTCTCCCCTGTGACCTGAATCCCATATTTTATAGTTAACAATATTCTCCTTCTCTTGGACACAAAAGTCCTCCTAGGCCTGTTAGCCAGGCATGAGGCTTTGGAGTCAACTTTTCAGCATAAGTCTATATGTAATAGAAGCCAAGTATTTTCATGTGTTTGCAGAAATGGGCTAAGTACATACCTTATTGGCTGCCATGGAAAAGTATTTGAAAGCAGTAGCATTATTTTGTGGTGCTGCATCATTACCTTCTAAATACATCTAGAAAAAAATTAAAAGAGGATGTAAAAAACTAAGAAATTTGAGGGTGATGAAAATGTTTTAGAACTACATAAAGGTGAAGGTTGCACAACACTGTCAGTGTAGTAAATGCCACTGAAATATACACTTTTAAATGACTAATTTATGTCATATGGATTGTACTTCAATTTTTTTTTAAAAGGGAAAACTAAAGAAACAATCTACTACATGCATTCTGGAGTGACATTGCCCAAACCAAAACATGAGATCTACTTGTGTTTTTTCACATTTCCTAGCATCTAAATTTACTGTATGTAGCACTTCTGGAAACAGGGCATTTGTCCCCATGGTTGCTAATAAATATAAGCTCGCTGTAAGGAGCCAAAGGCAGTACTTGGCAAAGGGAGTGATCTTTGAAGAAGAAAGAACATGCATTTCTAGAGGAACACAAGGGTGGACTTTGGTCAACCTGGAGCTGGGTCTCCTTCTGGGAGTTAAGGAAGGAGACACCTCATTGAATTGAAGAATGTACCAGTCTTCAATTCACTAGCCCTGTGAATTCACTAGCTAGTTATGTACAACTAGCCCTGATCTCCTGTTACATGCCAGGGGAAAAGATTGTGGGAGAGAATCTGTGCTATACTCAGTCAGAAACCCTGGGACAGGTGTACTTCAAGGTTGTTTTTGGTATCTCAGGTGAAAGTTGTTGATTTCTGGGGACTTTTAAAAACTATCATCTTGGGCCCTGGCTGGTGTAGCTCAGTGGATTGAGTGCAGGCTGTGAACTAAAGTGTCGCAGATTCAATTCCCAGTCATGGTACATGTCTGGGTTGCAGGCCATGACCCCCAGCAACTGCACATTGATTTCTCTCTCTCTCTCTCTCTCTCTCTCTCACCCTTTCCCTCTCTAAAAAAAAAAAAATCTTAAAAAAACAAAAAACAAAAAACCAAAAAACTATTATCTCAGGAATACTACCCTCATTTTGCAGCCAAATGCTCCTCTCAGCTGCTTTCATGAAAGAGGCCTGCATCCCTGTACCCTACATTGGCTTCAATCAACTAATACCATTAATTTCTTAGGTTTTTAAAAAATGAAAGTTATTGATCAAGATGAAGCATGTACCTTTCCTATAAATGCCATGGCATTTGCACTTCCAGCCTTTGCTGCCTTTAAAAAGTAGTATAGTGCTTTCTGGAGAGAAATGGAACAGTATTATTGACAGTTATAAACATATTATACAAAATGGCTTTTCAAAGAAAACTATTTCATTTAACATGCATTAAAAAAATCTATTAAATTTCCTCTTTCTTCAAGGCAGTATTTCAAATGCTATTTGAGCCATAAACTGAACAGTGGGAGAATGAATATATAAATATATACACACACACTATATATATATATGTATATATATAGACACCTTTGCACACACACACACATATTGTATATATGTGTATGTGTGTGTATACAAGGTATGTCCAGAAAAAGTCCAGCCATTATTAATGTAATGAGAACGGTGTGCGCAATATTGATGTAACCTGGCAGCCAAGGAAAGTGGACTGGAATGCACATGTGTGAACAATGGTGACTTCTCTGTATTAATCAGTTGGGGAAGTAGATGCCACTGAGTGAGCATGTGAACTGTGTGGTCATCACATTCAAAATGACTTAGTAAATAGAGCATGAATCTGCATCAAATTGTGTGTTAAGCTTGAACCTTCTTCTGTGGAAAGTATTTGGGTGATTCAGAAGGCCTCAGCTATGGACAACTGGTGACTGGAAGCTTCATCACAACAATATGCCCATCACGTCTCATGCAGAGTTTTTTTTGTGAAACATCTAATCACCCAGGTGACTCAGTCCCACTACAGCCCAGATCTGGTGCTCTGAAACATGACTTTTCCCCAAACCAAAATCACCTTTGACAGGGAAGAGATTTCAGACCATTGATGAGATTCAAGAAAATATGTTGGGGGTTCTGATGGCAATTGGGAGAACTGTGAGAGGTCCCAATGTGCTTACTTTGAAGGGAACTGAGGTATCATTGTCCTATGTACAATGTTTCTTGTATCTTCTTCAGTAAATATATCTAATTTTCATATTACACATCTGGATACCTTCTAGCCAGACCTCAATATATATGTGCATGTGTGTGTGTGTGTGTGTGTATACCTGTGTATGTGTGTATGTGTATGTATAATACATATAACCTAGAGACCACACACACACACACACACACACACACACACACACATATACATATAGTCCGGCACAAATAACCCCTTTTTATTACAAAATCTTTTATTACAAAATCATAAGCATTTAATTCTGTAACATAACAATATAACACTTAAACATACCATATGACATTTTAGGTGAAATGTTCAAGTTGCTGTCCATCTCATGCGAGACATTCACAAACCCTACCAACCACACTCAAGCAAGCTTTACTTCTACTGGACCCTGTGTGTGTGTATTTATATATATATATATATATATATATATATATATATATATACATATATATGTATATATATGTACATATATATTTAGAATGTGAGGACTTTTCACATTTGGAAAGGCATGATGGGTGTATGACTTAATGAGAACAGACAAATCTCAGCTGCACACCTAACAGTCCATTGTTTTGAAAAAGTACACATCTATGTTGATACTATGTACTGATAAGACAGTTTATACAACTGGCATAATTAGGTATGTAGCATCTTAATGTTTATAAGGCAGAGTGAATAGAACCAGACACAACTGTCTGCCTGCTGAGACCAGATATTTTTGTAGAGGTGAACTTGAGGCCAATTCTTTCTAAATCAAATTGAAGGATGCCAGCAAACCTTCTGATTCTCTCTAGGTCATAACATTAGATGAAACTCTCAGTCTAGAATGCATAAGGTCTGCCCTGCCTCTTGCTGCTTCATTCCATAGGCCTCATCCTGAATTCCCAGAAGCTCTCCTCAGACACAATATGGAGTAATAAAAAACGTCAGCCCCAGGAATAAGAAATGAAGACACTCTCCAAAGTATCTTATTAGGACACAACTCTTCTGCACTTTAAAGAGCATTAACTAGGCTGATGTGCAAGGGTCTGCTGCTTCCCAAAAAGAAGAAATTGTCTACGGAAGAAATGTGGGTAGTTCTTTTATCTGTAAATTCGCTCTAGAAATATTACCGAATTATTTGACAACCACAGGCTTATTAGTTAAGTAGGTCTGTCTTGTAGACATAAGTACAAATGTCACCAGTGCTGGACCTCATCATATCATGCATACATTTGTCCATCCATCTCCTCTCTTCTTTTTTAAAAAAATATTTTACCTTTTAGAAAAAGGTAGGGAGGAAGAGAGGGAGAGAAATATCAATGTATAGTTGCCTCTCTCACCCCCTCCCAACTGGGGACCTGGTCTGCAACCCAAGCATGTGCCCTGACTGGAAATCAAACCTGCAATGCTTTGGTTCACAGGCTGGCACTCAATCCGCTGAGCCAAACCAGCTAGGGCTCTTCTGTTTTTCATTTATCTTTTCAAAGCTTGATTGAAACCTGATGTATATATGGTAATATGCTAGGTAATATAGGTGATTCATAGGTAAAAAACACTGTGTCCACAAAAGAATGTAAATAAATGGCAACAAGGCAATAGATGATAGGTGGGATAAAAGGAACATCAAACAAGAATTAGAGGGGTATAAATAATACATATTGTAATCAGTTCTGTGATAAGTATTTTACAAGTTTTTTCTTAACTAATATTCACAATGACACTATAAGGAAGGTATTGTTAATATCTAAGCCTTTTTAGTGACACTTAAGGGTACTGGAGTCCCACAAAAAGCCTGAACCCAATTCCCATGTACTTGGCACTCAGCCTTCTCAGTTAAAGAAAGAGGGCTTAAGTGATAAGGGTCTCATGAAAGATGGAGAAAATTTACCAGTATAGAGGTTATCATAGGCTTGGAGAATAACATGAGTAAAGAAAGGAGATGGGAATGTCCAAGGTGTGTCCAGGAAATAGTAATTTTTTCAGTATGACTTAAGTAGAATATCTAAAACCTAAGACTTGAAAAAATATGATGGGTCCATATTATAGAAATCTTGAATACCAGGCTAAGGACTTTTATTTTATTTGGTTGAATATAGAAGCCACTTAAGATTTATAAACATGAGTAAATAAATTAAATGTATGGTCAAATGTATGATTTACAAATTACATTTATCAGAGCCAATATAAAAAATAAGGTTATTTCTTATGAATGTCTCTATTGAGCCAAGATCCAAATATACTCTTAGATTACTATAATTTGTGCACATCACAGTATCTCCAGGCCTTGCTTTCCTCATTTATGTTTTCTTCTGTGTGGTCCTAGAGCATTCTGTCCTTCCTTATAATGCCATCCATTCATTGATTTAATTGTCTGCTTAACTGTTTGTCTTCTCCAATGTTGAATACTCTATACTTAGTACAGTGTCTACTATATGTTAGGCACTCAGAAAATATTTCTGGAATGAATAAATAAATTGTGAATTTAATAATAAATGTATAAATCTTTAAAACAAGAGGACTGCATTTTAATCTTTATGATCCATTTTAGCTCTAGTATTATGATTCTATGAAATCATTTTCAAAGTCCATTTTCAGAATTTGGCTCTCAAATAGGCCATAGTGAGTTATAGAAAAAAATTTCACTCTAGAAAACTAGATTTGAACTGTTAAAAGATAATAATCTATTCACCAGCACCTATATCTTGGTGCTTTCCCCATTGTTCAATATAACCATTCAATAAAGACCAAAGGAATTGAGGTTTTCTGAAATTCCCTGTTCCATACTCCTCTACATTCATGGCTTACTTGGCATTTCCATTCTCTCTTCTTTCTATTTAAATTAACCTGCCCATAAAGCTATCACTTCAACACTTTATTAAATAAAAATAACATGCAAGTAGTTTTGATGGATATGCAAGAGCCAACCTGAGTGCTTGCTTTCAAAAAGTTAAGATCAAGTATTCATTCATCTGTTATGGGCTACATATTTGTGTTCCCCCCAAAGTCATAGTTCATATACTGAAAACCTAATGCCCAAAGTAATAAGAGGGGAGGCCTTTGAAAGGTGATTGGCAGAGCTCTCATCAATGGGATTGATGCCTTTATAAAAGAGTCCCCGGAGATTTAGCTCATCCCTTCTGCTATTGGAGGAAACAATGAGAAGTCTGAAAACTGAAAGAGTCTTAACCCAACTATGCTGGTGTAGGAGACCATTCTACGTGGTGTGGGCCCAGATCCCACTTGGAGATGCACAGGACCCATGCCCACAGACAGGTTTTTTTCATGGGGAATCAGGCCTGCATTGTGCCTAGGCCACTTTGAGTCTTGCTCTTGTTAAAAAACTCCCTCACCCTGAATTGAGGACATTTACTGCAAAGTAACTTCCTAAAATCCATGCTAAACCTTCCAAGGATGAGTGTAACCAGTTCAACCACTTTTGCCTTTTCACTTGCAAATATTCCTCTTCTGTGATGTGATTAGTGGCATTGGCTCCTTTGTTTTCTGTAAAAGGTAACTAACTACCTAAAGTGAACCTGTGCATAGTAAATGAGGACCATCATGTAATGTGCTGAGAAACCCAATAAAGGCAGGTCACGGCAAGGGCCAAGGCTTTTGCTCCCCTTGAGAGAAAAACCATGCTGTCCCTTTCCCTCCACTAGACTCAGTAGTTCTTGTGAATGTGTCATTTTATCCATAATGATGTGAACACTGTGGGCCGGTGTCTGCAGCATGCTGGCACTCTGATCTCAGATGTCCAGCCACCAAAACTGTGAGAAGTAAATTTCTATTGTTTTAACTCTCCCATTCTATGGTATTTTTGTTATAGCAGCTCAGACAGACTAAGGCTCCATCCTTCATAGATTTACTGAGTACATACCATTATATTTTACTGATTCTAAGATGCATATCCCTCTTTAATAAAGATATTTCTTATCATAAATGGCATCATACAATTTATGTTTGCAGTGTTTTTTCTTTCTCAGTTGAACATAAAATAATGTATCTTATATTGGTGATGTCTTGTTATAAAATATAGTATGTCTTAGGTATTATGCTAAGTGAAGTTTTATTATTTGATTACACATCTTTTTTTAAAAAAATGAGCATCATTTTTTGTTTGTTCTAAGAAAACTCCTA